ATTCTATGTATTTGAAGGTTCATCTGACAGTATTCAAGCAATGTCAGATTATTTTTTCACTTGTTAACAGAAATCATATGACAGTGTTTGAGTAGTAATCACACATTAGGTGTCACTCACATGGGAAATTCAATATTTTGATTTGTATAATGTTCATTATTTAAACAAAAGTTGTATAATAATAAAACCAAACACCAAAACATTATATGTAGCATGGGTAGATGATTATGGTAAAGCACAGTGGGGCATATTTAGCATGTCTTTAGTATAATGTACTGAATGCCAAATATATAAGACGTAAGACAAGCATTATGGTAGAATAAGTATGAAACATAAAATATATGCTAATATTAATAACTTATTATTATTATGTTTATTAGGTATGTTTGATTAATCTACAATTTTATGTTTCTTGTGTTTTAGAAATATTCAAGTACTGCAGGTCATGTAAACACTTAAAGAAATATTGTTTTAAAGCTTAACAGTTATTTTTATCTCAGCATCAAAGTAGATGTACGTGTAGAACAAATTCAGTAACTTGCCCAAATACCATAGATTTGTGAATAATCCACCAGTTGGATCTGTAAGCCTGTAAAAATAGTTTGTTTTTATTTCTATAGTAATTGTAAAAAAACACTGGCTGCAGATTATCTATTGTCTCCATAAAACAGGTGATGCACTTTTTCCTTAATCAAACCCATAGATATATTGGGTACCTTTGCACAAAATAAATTTGTTTATGGAGGCAGTGTTTAGAATGTTAAATGTATTAAAGTTTTGTTCAAAGCTCAAAGGTTGGTTACGATACAGTGTTAACTTTGGAGACTGTCTAGTGCAATTATATGGAAATAAAACTGTTTCTTGCTGTGTAATAGGCTACAACAAAATGTCTAAAATGTTTGTCATAGAAATCATAGGACCTTGTCATACAATTATTAAAGTGGCACATAAAAGGCTTATAAAAAAATTATCTCTAAAGGTGAAATGCAAGATAATGCAGGTGTGTCATCTTAATCTGATTTATAAGTATAATTTGGATGGGAATAACCCTAATAGTGTTATGAAGGAAATGGATCTTGGTATAATAATTGACCAGTCTCTAGAGTCATCCAAGCAGTATGCTGTTGCTAGTGGTAGTGCAAATAGGATTTTAGGTTTTATCTATAGAAATATTGAATACAAGTCTAAAGAGGTTATAATTTCATTGTATTCACTGGTTAGGCCATATTTGGAGTATGTATTTAATCTTGGGCTCTCAACAATAGGAAGAACATTGAATTATTGGAAAGGGTTCAAAGAATGGTGCCCTGGGATGGAGGGGTTATGATATGAGGAAAGATTAAGCCCTCTGAAATTTTCTCTTGAAAAAAGAAGAGTTACAGGGTATCTGATTGAGGTATTTAAGATTGTAAAGAGAATTGATGGTGTTGAGGCATCATCTTTTTTTCATACTTAAGGAGGAGAATAGTAGGACTAGGAGACACAAATAAATTTTGACATGGTAGGAGTCATCTTCAGCTAAGACAGTTTTATTTTTCTAACAGGTTAGCTGGCCTTTGGATGTTGTGGAGACAGTAAACTTAGGTGATTTTAAGAGGAAGTTTGATGGCTATATGAATGATAAGGGCTGGCTTTAAGATTTTTATTTATTTATTTGAAAGTTTTAGTTTAGTTTAGAGGATGGGAAAACCAAGATGGACCAGTAAGTCCCTTGTTGTCCCTAAACATTATGTTATGTTAAGAGTATGGTTTGTTATGTTATCTGATCTTTTATATTCAGTTTGATAATAGTTGTAACTGTTGGTGAGTTTAATGTATTATTATGTTGTTTTTGTGTTCCATATTGCATTGTTGTACTTTGTATGATAATGTGTAGGGTTATAACATTTGTAACTAATTATTTTTGTCACAAGTTAGGGGACAAAATGTCCAGGTTCGCATTGCAATTTGCAAATCAAACCAACACCAGTTGTGAATCACTTCCCACTTTGCTCAGCATAATGTGCAAATCATTCCTTTCTCTTGTATGTTGTCTCCAAGACCTCCAACAGAACAGTGAAAGTGCCATAACATTTCAGTTTGATGAACCAAAGCTGATGTTAATTTCTCGGAAATTCCCACCCAACAGCACATACAGTATTTACACTTTGTGATGTGCATATCGCATACACATACACTTGTAGTAATATGTTCATGATGTTTGGAATGTGCCTGGTCTACACCCGCAGCCTTGCCAGCTAGTGTACATACCTACAGCACATGCACTTCACATTTAGAATTGAGCCAGCTACAAACCATTTCAATTTGACCAATTTTGTAACCACCAAACAAAAAACAATTAAAATATATCTAAGTTATCTTTTTTCTTTCTAGAATGAGTTTAAATTGTGACATGAAACTACATTTCTTTATCCTAAGTAGCTTAATATTCCTAACAGTATACATTTATATATATATAAATTTTATTGTTTTGTTGCCTTTTGAACTGTGTCAAACTACTAGTATTATTCACACCATTATAATCTAAGTTGTAAATCACTTTGGGAATGTGTGGCTTATGTTACACTACCGAATTACATTACCCACGAGTTACTCCAAGCTGATAGTGTGTGTTACTTGTGAAAATTTATTATTAATTATTTAGCTAACTTAAAGAGTTTCCTATTTTTACATTTTAGTTACTTTTATAATAATAAATAAAATACTTACCTGGACCTCCTTTTTTTGATGTTGACTGTTGAAGACACTTAACCCTCCTTTTTTATAATGGTAGTAGTGCACAAAATAATTTTTATTTAATTAAAAAATGCACCAAAGAACATAGAATAATAACATGCAAAAAGCAAACAATGTCCCATAACTATCACAATTTTTTTGGCTTTCTAACTATGAGACAAGAGCCATTACAAATTCATCCAAGCTAATCAATGTCCTTCCTGTGGGAACAAAGCTTGTACTGAAAGAGAAATTAACATTTTTCTGTACAGAAAACAACATAATATAATACATCATTTGATAGATGAAAACCTTGGCTTTCTATTGGTTAAAATATTGGTTTACAAACCCTGAAAGAGCAGATGTGACAGGTGGGTGTGGCAAGAGGGGTCTGATTTTCTATTTGATGGCTTTGTAACCAAACAAAATTGAAGACTATAAAAATTATGCTTTATCTGAGCAATGACAATATTATAATAAGTAATTTATATTAAATTTCATACTTCTTGGAGGGGTGATAAATATATTAGAAAAGAAGGGAAGCCTAGAGAAACAAGATGGAATCCTCAATAGCCTTGGCACTTGAAATTGTTTCAGGCAGAATTAGAGTAAATTAATCTTTGAGACCTTTTTATTGGCTATGTTTTTCTGTTCCAGCAATACTAAGTGTGAGGCGTGTAGGATGCACGTATACCTGATTCTATTTTATTACTCATCATATTTTCTACCTACCTACCATCAAATTGAAATTCTTTTATGTAAGATTTGAATAAATTAATCCATGAGAATTTGGCCATGGGCAAATACATCAAACAAAAGGGTTTGACATCCCAAGTATAAAAATATAATTAAATCTCAAGTTGGTCAAGAGATGATGGAGCTATGAGCTAAAAGTTTGTACTTGAAAAATTCAGAGCCATTCTATGAGCCGCTATGCTGCGGTTAAAAATGTCACATTTCTCACACTAGGTGAGATTATGGATTTTTTTTTTAATATTACCTTTAAAACTAAGAACTTAAAACTTGTATACTATTAAAATATGGATTATTAGCTACAGTTTTATGCTATACTAATTGGTATAACATAAACGAAAAGTAGTTGAATTAAATTTTGAATGTAACTCACTAAAACCTCATGACATGCACAGTAAATGATACGCGTGGTGAGAGGGGTAATTACTGCTGAAAAGTCACCAGATATTTTCTTCTTAAGAAAGCCAAGGAGATCACATTGTGAAGAATGATGAAGTCTCACCAAAATAGAAACTAGATTATATTGAAAAACGATTTGTGGCAATTTTGTTCAGTTGGAATATCTTAAAGACACTTCTTTCTTTGGTTAATCAATTGTTACATTATTGTGTGACAGCTGAGGTGTTTGGTTTTACTTGCAATTTTACTTTGTATACCAGGAAATATTTTGTTCATGAAATGCCATGTATGTTACAATTAAATATTAGGGTTTGAAGCTGGATAAAAATGTTATTAGAATAAAAACATGCCATTTTTGTATTTATAAAGAGATGACTTTTAGTGCTGGATTGAGTTGACATGTTAAAATGATTAATATTCAAAAGATGCTAAGCAATATTTGCTAATTGTTTATCAGATTATTTATTTCTTAGCAGTTTCTGCTAATCAAATCCACCAAGCTATTTTGTCCCCTTCTGAAGTTTTTTTTGTAAGATATTATTTTTCTTTTCAAATAGCATTCTACATTTTATACTTTTTGGAAATACTATATTATATGATTCAAACTACTAAGTTTCTACGAGATTCCAAACATTTGAGTTTTGTAGCCTGATTGATTTCCTAAATATTTAGTACAGACTTGTATTGGATTATTATTTGTGTTTTTACAATAACTGAATACTTACTTATCTGTTGTCTAATTCGTTGTTTATAATAGACCACTATTTGACATAACTTTTAACCCCTGTAATAAAGACAAAGTTAAATATTTTATTAGCTCAATACCTATAATAATAATATTAATTTTTATTTTTCTGATCTAAAGATAATACATATTAGGTGCTTATTTTCTAAAGTAATTAGATTTTGGAGGTATAGTGATCTGTATATGTAGCTATAAGTTTTATCATGAACGATGCAGGAATATTATTCTTTTGTGAAATGGATTATCTTGCAAACTTGTGGGAGTTTTTTGAATAGAATATGTATAAAAATATTTTTAAAACTTCAAAATAAATCTAGAAAACTTTTTCAATTACTTGAATGATCCAACTTATTACATCTATTCAAATTATCTATCATTTTTTTGTTAGATTGGCTGGTGTCACTGTTGCTCAACATATTTTGGAGGTATGCCTAAGAATGCAAAATCAGCTAAGTGATTTGTCATATAATCTTGTCATGGACTAGTAAGGAAACAAGATATTTCCAGAAGTCATCTGTGATTTGTTTTTTCAACAAACAATTTCATCATCAAAATATGTACAAAGTATTTACTTACAACAGTGCATTGTTTTGTTTTTCATTAAGACTCGGAAGCTTTTCATTCACTTGATATTTTTAAACCATTAGATTGCAGTTATTTTTGGGTCATTCTAGACCTTTTATGATATTAATATTAATTAAATGTTATTGTATTAAATTCTGAAGAATTTGAAGTATCTATTCTGACTGAATACAGATAAAAACAAGTATTTGAGTATGCATCATAAAAAGAAACTGATACCAGGTAGTATCAAGGAACAGAACAAGTCTTCACTTCTTCCTCTGCCTTCTCAACCTTTGTTCAAAAATGTTAGAAGTAGCATTTCAGGTAATATAGAAAAACAGAGATCATATCCTGCTATACAGCATTTTACAAAAAGGCATATTGAGGCAGATTTTAAGCCTTCCCTGTTAGGTCCTGGTCCATTTAGAATTCCACTTCTTTCTGACCCTATAGCATCTCCGGGACAGATTTTTAAACAGACTGATTATATTGAAGACCAGTTTTGTGATGAAGCTTATATAGAAAATTCAGTGTTTACTGATCACCAAGGCAGTGATGAAGATTTCTTTGACAGCAGTACTTCTAATATTTTTAACAATTTGAATGAAAAAACTAGAAGAGGACTGTTGGAAGAACCTGACCTTATGCAGTGTGAAGTGGATCACCAAAGACATTTACCAATTATAGATAAAGGCAGAAGTAGAGGTCTACTGGAGAAGCCTGATTTTGTAGCCAGTCAAATTGATTATCAAAGACAACACTCTCCATTTAAAGATGAAGGAAGGAGTAGTGGACTGTTGGAAAAGCCTGATTTTATAAACAATCAAGTTGATTACCAGAGACAACCATTTCCATTTAAAGATGAAGGCAGAAAAAGAGGACTGTTGGAGAAGCCTGATTTTGTGGACAGCCAAGATGGTTATGAGAGACATTCCCTTCCAGTTATGGATGAAGGTAGAAGTAGAGGATTATTGGAAAGCCCCGATTTTATGAGCAGACAAGTAAAACACCAGAGACAGTCCTTCCAATTTAAAAATGAATTCAAGAACAGAGGACTGCTAAAAAACCCTGTGCAAAACCAAATTGATTACCAAAGATATCCTTTGCCGTTTAATAATAAGGTTAAAAGGAGAGTACTGCTGGAAAAACCTGATTTTATGAACAACCAGGGTCATCCTTTTCCATTTAAAGATAAAGGTAGAGGATTGCTGAAAGAGCCAAACTTTATGGACAGTCAGACAGGTTGTTTGCTACCTGAAAATGAAGGTAGAAGAAGAGGTCTTTTGGAGGAGCCCAGTTTTCCTGAGAGTAAAAGAGATTATCAGAAACATATTTTTTTTTCAGAAGATGTGATTAGAAAAAGGCAACTGTTGGAAAATCCAGATTTTGCAGATGATCAGATTGAATACCAAAATCAACAAGTGTTGCAAGATGATATAGATAGAAGTAGAAGACTTGAGCAAGTTGATGAACAGAAACATCCTTTGCTTCTAGTAGATGAAGATGTAGGAAATAGAGGATTTGTGAAAGAGCTTGACACTGTGGAGTTTCATGCTCATTACCCAAGATACAACTTGTCACGAGTAGATGATAGCAAAAGTAGAGTACTTTTAGAGGAGCCCAACTTTATTGATAATCAGATTGACTATCAAACACATACCTTGTTGCTAGAAGATGATGGCAGGAATAGAGGACTTCAAGATGAGTCTGACTTTGTAGATAATGAGGTTGACTACCAAACACACACACTATTTGTAAAAGATGAGGGCAGGAGTAGAGGACTTCTAGAGGAACCAGACTTTATAAATAATCAGGTTGACTATCAGACACATCCCTTGTCACTAGATCATGAAAGCAGGAATAGAAGACATCTAGAAGAGCCTGACTGTGTGACTAATCAGATTGAATACCAGACATATCCGTTGCTGCTAGAAGGTGAAAGCAGTAGTGTAGAACTTCTGATTGAGCCTGACTTTGTGGATAATAAAGCTGACTACCAGACAAATTCTTTATTACGAAAAGATGAAAGCAGGAATAGAGGACTCCTGGAAGAGCCAGACATTGTGGATAATTATGTTGATTACCAAACACACACTTTTCTAGCAGAAGATGAAAGTGAGAGTGGAGGAATGCTTGAGGAGCCAGACTTTGTGAATAATCAGGGTGACTATCAGACACAACCCTTTTCACTAGATAATGAAAGCAGGAACAGAGGATTGCTTGAAGAACCTGACTTTGTAGATAATCAGAACGAATACCAAATATATCCCTTATATCTGGATGATGAAGGCAAGAGTAAAACATTTATGGAAGAACCTGACTTTATGAAAAGTAATAGAAAGCAGCAAAGACGTCCCTTATTACTTGAAAGTAAATATAAAAATAGGGGAGTTTTGGGTGAACCTGACTTTGTGGATGATCAGGTTGAATTCCAAAGACACCCTCATTTTTTACAAAAAGATGATAACAGAGATTCAAGGCTAATGGAAGAGGCTAATTCTGTAGATATCCAAGATGATTATCAAAGAGATATGAAAGACAAATGTGGAAGTATTGAAATGCAGGAGGAGCTTGACCTTGTGAATGATCAAATTGAATACAGAAGACATCCTTTGTTACAGAGAGATGAAAGCATGGGTAGAGGATTGCTTAGGGAACCTGAATTTTTGTACAGTAAGGTTGATTTTCAGAAACATCCTTCACAATCAAGACATGAAAACAGAGACAGAAGAAAACAGATGGAAGAGTCATCCTCTCTGGATATTGATGTTGGTAATCACAGTAGTTCATTATTAGTTAGAGAAAGAGGCAGTAAAAAAGGGTTATTGAGAGAGCCTGACTTTACTGACAGTCCAGTTAACAGTGGAAGAAGTAGCTTGCTGTTAAGAAATGAAATCAGAAGTAGTGACTCTACAAGAGGACTGCTACCGATTCCATCTACTGGAACGGATAATCTAACACAAATGCATGAAGAGCATCAATCAAGTGTAAAAAAACTAGATGCATCTTACATCTCTGAGGATGACAGAGAACATATGCTAACCCAGAGGACAGGATTTTTTAGTGATGTGCTTAAACCACAAAGTTCTTTGCATCCTAAATCAAGTAAAATGAGGATGCCTAAGTTTACCAATGAAGGTGAGAGTAATGAAAAAAGGAATGTGAGTTGGAATAGAAGACAAGAACATGATATAATTCACAGAGGGATGACAGAAGTTAAAGATGATGTTCAACAAAGAAGTAGAAAAAGACAGAGTTCCTTTCAAATGGGTTATAAACAAGGTAAAATTACTATATGTATATATATTAACTTAGAATGTAAAGTTGAGGTAACTAGATAAATGAAATCAGTGTAGTTTCTGTAGTTTAAAGAAGAATATCTATATGAATTACTTACATTTTTGTATTGTCATCTTTACCTAAGTTTATTTTTAGATCAGGGGAAGCAAAACCCTTATTTTTCCAATATTAAGCAAAAATACTAATGTCATATATATTTAATATTTATGTTATTTAAATATGTTATGCACTTCATGCTTCAGTTTTATAAATATAATTTTTTATTGAATCTGATACATGATAACCAATGAGAGGTCACAGATGCATAATTCTTTCTAGGCACTTGCTAAGGCTTAATTGTGTGCTTGAATGTGAATACATTTACATATATTTCTCAACACTTACTGAGAAACTGATTTTAAGGTTCTACCTTAGAACTGAATTATGTATTCAAGACTTCTTCTGAGTTAACCCTTATTTTATTGTTTTAATTTCATAATATTTATGGTAGTGATTTTATTTGTGAATCTTCTCCTACCTAAATTTTTGTTAAGATAGATGATAATATTTTAAACTCTATGTTGAATTCTTCAGTTCTCCAGAAAGAGGCAGTGGAAGATGGTTGTTGAGAGAGCCTGACTTCTACAGATAGTTAAATTAATTGTAAATGAAGTGGCATAGAGTTTGAAACATCATAATGACAATGAAACTTTACGCAGGAGAAAATACTTTAAAAACCCACTCTACCATTACAAACACATTGCCAAAGTGATTCCTGAAAGAAAGTTTCTATAATGGTACTACCTCCAATGAGTCTTTTATACCCCTTTATTTTTGCACCATTGCAGCAAAATGTGTTGATCATGTGACTACCTTCCACCAATCACCTATACTAGTGTAGGTAGCTCCCTCTACCATTCCAGCACAATCCTCACTTTCTTGATAGGCATTCTAGTGTATTGACGTGTGTTTTAACTCATTCTCCATGTGACTACAAAATTTTGATTGTGTTTGATTTCCAATGTTTCTACTCGTTTGTTTTAGATATGTTTCTGTTTTATTCGTATCAATTCCAGAGTTAATATGGTGGATGATAAAATTCCCACCCTAAGTAGACAATGGTTCTGACACTAGTCTCAGGGTCGACGTTGTCTGCTGGGGGAGCACAGGCTTTAGTTTGTGGCGAGTTTGGGTTTACATTCTGCTGATGATTTTTCCTTTCACGTTAAATTCTTTGTGAAGAGGATATAACTTCTGTGTTGAAATTTTCTTTCTACTGCACTTTCCACCAGTTACCGTGCCTGCACATAATCTACTGGGTTAGGTTTTGTTCTTTTTTCCAGGAGATCTGTGGTAAGTTTTTCTGTGGGTATTTCTCACTCCCCTTAGGTTTACCCATGTTCAGTAATTGGATGAGTGGTACCCACTGAACCAGGATTTTACTCTTGTCTCCAAAAACACTTGAGATTGGAGTCCCATCATAGATCTGTCCCAGCTGTATACTTATCTGGTGACACCTTGCTTCTCCATGGAGTTCTTCTTCTCACTTTAGTGTTTTTTTTTGCCCCAGTGTTATGTTGTTTTTCTTGGTTTAGTCCATGTGAGTTCTTTCTTCCAGTTCTGTGCACTGCCGTTCAGTCTTTCTTCAGCTCCATATGTGTTTTGTTGAGTGGAACGCTTTTTTGCACATCAACGTCACTCGCTGGTTATTCGGACTCATCATTATGTGGATGACTGGCTTTTGCTCACCTCTTCCCGTGCCCAGTCAGTCACTCACACCTGCATGCTTCTTTTAGAAGCTGCTCAGGTGGTATTTCTCATCAAGTTGAAGAAGTCCTTATGACCCCTTTGCAGCATCTTATTCATTTGAGGGTTCTCTTCACTTCCCATATCAGTCGAGCCGAGCCTTCTCCACTTCAGCTCCAGGATATGGAGCAGGCAATCATGAAGGCCCTGCCTTCTCCTTCTCTCTCTCTCCACACAAGAGGTCCTATCTCTTTTAGGGATGTGGGCTTCCTTGGAAGCTCTCATTCTCTTGGGTTGGGTGCACATGCATTCCCTTCATTGGATGCTTCTTGACCCATGGAACTTCCCCCACAACCCCTTGGACCATCCCATCTCCCTTCCACCTGGGATCAGGGCCATCCTTACTTGGGAGCTTGACAGGGACTTCATCATGGTGGGGGCTCCCATTCCTTTCCCTCATCCCGATTCTTATTTGTTCACATATGCTTCCTTGGTGGGTTGGGGCAGGGGTCTTTCCTCAATTCCCCAAAGATTTTGGGTTGGTGGTCAGTTGAGGAGGCTACTTTCCATATCCACATCCTAGAACCTTTGGCAGTTCATCGGGCTCTGTATAATTTCCTTACATTCCTGCAGTGATTGATGGTTATGGTTCATTTTGACAATTCCACTGACATCAGCTATATCACCAAGCAAGGGGGAATCAAGTCCAGATCTCTGTGTTTTCATACTCTGGATTTCATGTACTAGGCCAATGACCACAACATGACAGTTATGGCGTGTCATGTTCCCCGAGTTATGAATCTTGTAGCCAAATGCTTATCACATCCCTTCCAGGTTCTCCCCACAGAGTGGTCCCTTCATCCTTAGGTTTTTCTGAGGGTGTGTTCTCGATTGGGAACACCACATACATACTGGTATGCCAAACATCTTTTCTTTTTGGTCCCCAGTTCCTCACTCCTCAGCTCGGGGGGGGGGGGGCTTTCAGTCAAGATTGGAGGGTTCTTCATCTATATGCCTACCAATTAGACTCATCTCCTTGGTCTTTTCCCTTCCCCAGACTGCTTGTTGTTGTGTTCTTCTGATTGCTCCATTTTGGGTGGTTCCCTCTGCTCTGACCCTTACAGAAGCCACAGTTCTTGCCCTTATTTCTGTCCTGATCACTCCTCCTCCAACTGCGATTTTTTGTCCCAACATTACTACACTCCACCTTCACATGTGACTTTTGTCCAGTCCTGTGCCTCAGGGACTCGCCCCTCCTGTTGAGTCTTTCCTTGCCTGCACATTTGTCCTTCCTTCTTGTCTATGTACCAGAGGCATTGGTCTTACTTCAGACTTTGGTCTATCTGCCTTGGCTTCCGACCATCCTGTCTTTCTGTTCTTCACCTGGTTGTTTGATCAGGGTTTGTCTGTTGCTATTTATAAGGCTACCCTGTCAAACACCTTCTGTTCTCCCATTTCTGGAAAGTCTTCTCTTTTCCAGTTACTTCCCTCCTTTTCTGTTCCTTTTCTCTGGTCCATCCGCCACGTTCCTTTGTTCTGCTAAACTGGAATCTGCATGTTGTCCTTCGTGACCTGTCCAGTTCTCCTTTTGAACCCATTATAATGTGTTCCTTGTACTATTTTTTCCTTAAGACCTCCTCCCGCCCCTCCTTGCATGCAGTCATTGTCATTCCGAAATTTATGCTGTTAATGTTTCCCACATCCTTTACCATTCCTCTTATGTCATCTGTTATCTGGATCGGTCCTTCCTTCCCAGAACATCATCTGCCTGGGAAGGTTCTTTAGCTTTTTATCCCAATTCCTTACTTTTCTTTTCCCACCTGTACTCTAATTTGGATTCGAATCATCTACTTTGTCCAGTTCATTCCCTGCTATGTTATATGGCTCATACTTACTCATTTCATCTTTCTCATTCCTGCTTTTTGTTCCATGGATTTCCTCTGTTTCCATTAGCTGAGAACAGCACCTGCCATTTGCTTTCAACAAAACTCTTTGTTTTGTTGGGTACAAAGTCATGTGCTCAGTGATGTTTCTACTAGTGACATCATATTATCTAATACCTTATAGTCAACCTCAGAGAAAGCGGCAAAGGCTATATTTAGTCATTCTTAGATGTTGTATAATTTTTCTACACAGTTAAAAAAAATTTAATCTATTGATTACCTGTTACCAGTGTCTTAAGGTGCTGAATACAAGTAAAACAAATTACAGATCACTGACAGAAATAAAAACCAGGAAACAGGCATTGTAAAGGATCTACTGGACAGCATAAAAAAAATCAGGACTGTATCAGCCAAACTTCATGTATGGTAACCTTAAGCAAGAATGATGATACCACACTATTAAGTCAGACAAAAGCCCATGGTATGTTATCCAACATTATTTGTGTTAACAGTCATTCATATTATACGTATCAGGAAGATAAACCTAGCTCATTAACACAAGATTATGGCAACCAACTTGATGCAAAACACCTGCATGACACTTTTTAAAATTTGCATGAATTTTCCTGAATAATAATTCAATTTGTACTGTTTACAGAATGGTAAAGTACAGAAGTTTTTCAAGTGCAAAAACATCCCAGTGCTCACCCTTTCAGTTGACATTTGCAATTATTTAAAGAATCTGATGAAAAATTGTGACTTATTTAAAAACAAAAACATCATGAAATCTAACTCTAAGTTTCAAATGTGGTATTTTATTCATTCTTCACTGTTATTGCCAGTCTTATAATCTATGAAATCTGTCACTGTTTGTGTGACAAACAGGTCTCATTAAACTTCTGCAAATTCCATCCATTGTGCTTTAAAGTTTTATTGCTGTTAGCTCCCTTAATTAATGTCCAATTGTTGTAGTAATCACAGTTTAACACATTTGTTTTGACAGTCTTAATTACTGCTCTTGCCATCATAGTCTATTGTGTAAACATGCTACTGATTATTCATTCAACCAGTCAAACACGACTTAACATTAAGCTAGCTAATGTAACTGACCAATAAATTCTATGATTTATATAAACAATGTTGTGTGGTCATGAAGCATGAAATGTTTGTTTTTCCGTAAGCATTTGAAGAAATGATGAGTTTAATTACCAAAAACATCTTATCACACATTGTTTCAGATTACAGGTACCTTTTTTATGTTAATAAAAACTTGATTGGGAAACTGTTGAATTGGAATTGGCCCATAAGAAAATTAAAGAAAGTACAAATAAAACGTGTGGATAACAACATAGTTTTTATTATTTTTTATTTCAA